GGATGAAATAGCCGAGGGGAACGTGGAAGCACTTGGGACGGTGTGCCTTTCGAAGAATGGGTGGTATATGTTTTGCACGCACCTAGCGGTGGGAGGAGACCCGATGTGGATTTTAGAGGATGCCGAGCGGTTAACTTGGGAAATGGGGCAGGATTTTGCAAATGAGGGGTGGGATGAAGTGGGAAGCAGGGTCGTGAATGGGGGATGGGAGGACCTTAGGCTCCCCTACCAGTTAGTCCAGGTGAGGGTGCCGCATTTTGTTGCAGACTGGTTCGGAGGGTATGAACATATCCGCGCCGTAGCGGAATCCATGGACGAGGTAGAGATAGGCTTCGCCTGGTTATCAGACGCTTATTACGAGGCGTCATTGCGATTCGGGCCGATTCACGGGGACCAGGCTGAGGAAGTGGTCGAGATCCTGAAGGAACTTAAGGACTACCGACTAGAGGTAGGAGAGGAAGTCGAGGAGGCGATACTCCGTCGGGAAATAGCCGCAGCGCCCTCGTATGTAGGGGACGTCTTCTTGCTGTTTGAGGTCCTATGGATTTGAATACGGACCTGGGAAGATAGGGGAATAGGGTGGGGTTGACGAGGAAAAGAAAGGCCATTGTACATTAAAAGAAGGGGTAATGTACACAAGAGAGGGGGGGGGGGCGAAATAGAGAGGGGGCAGGCTAGGGTAACTAGGAGACAAAGGGAGAAGACGAGAACTAAGGGAACTTGATTAACGTGGTGCATGCAGAAATCAAGAGCGAGGAGCGGGAGCAGGTAACGAGAAATGGCTAGGCGTGTGACGCTTTGGGAAACTCGGCCGCGAGGGATCTTGCCGCCACGTTTCTTGGATAAAAGGGTGGAGGTTAGCCTGCCCTCCAAGGGCGGGGTGTATAATCCGGTGATGGACTGGGTTGGGGTAGAACTGGTAGAGGACACGGTGTACCTGGTGGTGGAACTAGAATGGCACGCAAGGGGTGAGTTTGGGGGCACCAACCTGGAATTGCCAGGACGGGTGCGCGCGACAGGGTCCCTATACTTGTCGGAGGCAGGATGACGGACCTTCGGGGTGGCCTTGGCGGATGGCGGACCTTCGGGGTGGCCTTGGCGGATGGCGGTGACCCCGTACGGATGTTTGACGGGGCGCGGCAGGTGACCTGGAGGGAAGGGTTTGCGTTCCCCAACCCGGACCGAGATGACGTGACGGCGACCGTCCGGGTGGTCGAGGTAGGAGCTAGTATCTTGCCTTATGAAAATGTGCGCATGGTCTTGCCACCCTTTTTGCTTGAGCAAATGGGAGGGGTAGAACGTGCTGAGATGGCAGTAATAGCCCTGGGTAGGTTGAGTAAAGGGGCCCTTATGTGCCTCTAAAATTTCTTTCATGCTATGACATTTCAGGACCTTTGTAAATAAAATTCATTATTTCATTACACATAGTCTCTTTATTTTTTCAAAAAAAAATAATAAGACAGTATAGTATCATAAATAAATCAGACTTATACAGTCTATCGAGAATACCACCGGGCCTTTTTGGAACTAGGGCCGTTCGATGAGTAGCAGGAGTACGAGGTGCTAAACATTCTACAGGCCGTAGTGGGCACTAGACCTGGAATACCGACGGTAACCGAGGAAGTCGTGTGGGAGATAGCTAGGCGCGAGATAGGATGCAGGCTGACATATGTGGACGACGTCCGCCGATTGTTCGAGGGGGTAGAAGAGTAGGGGGGCAGAAAAGAAAAGCAAGGGGGAAGGTAGATCAGCGGGATCGGGCTATAAGGGGGCTTGAAGAAAACTAAAAAGAGAGGTTACTTTTCCCTTTTTCCCTTTTTTTTTTGTGCGTGGTGAATGCAGGGCGATATTCGCCAACAATGGCGGCAAGACGCGTCCGTACAAACCGGCGGGACATGCACCCGCAACCGCCCATGGAAACCGGAGGCGGATGGGAAGTGTCACTCCCGGCAAGCTATATTGTCTGGGGGATAGATACGGAATGGCGGGCTGTGACCCTAGGACGGAATCAGGCTTTCATGCTAGTTGAATGCCTATGGGGTGGCATGAGATTCGATAGGGGGCCAGRAGACGACTTATATACTGACCTCAGGGTGACAGGGACTCTATATTTCTCAGAAATCGGGTGGCAAATGTTGGGAACTGGACTGACCTTGGGGCATGGGTTGTTACCAGTGTTTCGGAGGGCAGTTAGGGTCCTGAACCGGATAGGCCATGAGGTTAGGGGAAGACGGAATGTGGGATTAAGGACGCGAGTAGAAGTAGGGGATGGCGAGACTTTAGGGCCCCTATTTCGGGACTGTGCTGCCGGGTGCCCCGGTTCATGGTTGATTTGGTTTTTGGGAGTCTTGCGCGGGCAAGGGACCTGGTGAATTCAACCGTAATCAGGGAACGCTACTTCTCACCACAGGCCACGAGGATGTTCTATGACGTGGCAGTAAGGCACGGGCCGTTCTGGGGAAATCGGGCGCGAGAATTGCTTCGGAACGCCCCGTCTGTCGTTTGAGGAATACGAGCCAATAATCATAAGGGAGATCGAGATGGGGGAGAACTATCTCGCAGGGGTGGCAAGACTATTTGAAGAACCGGATGAGAGGGAGAGACCGAAAGAGCCAGGATAGGAAAGATGCCGGGAAAGATGGTAGAAATAAGAACCAAAGGGAAAGAAAAATAGGTACAAAAGAACCGATTGGATGGCCGCAACCAGGTCTACCATGGGTTGAACACATGCCAGAAAAAGGGGGGGGGGAGAGACGCCGTTGCAACCAAAGGTGCGGCCAAGATACCTAGGATAAGCAAAAGGGAAGAGCAAAAAGGGGTGAAAAACAGGCAATTCTAAAGGCTAAGAGAATTATGTGCGGTTGTAAAAAAAAAAAAAAATCCTTCTTCCATATCACAGGGCTAGAGGAAGGAAAACATGGCCATTGGAGACGAGGCTGGAAGTCAATTGAGGGACGAAAATCAGGACGTAGAGGACGACGCAGATCAAGAAGAGCGGGACCTAGGGGATCGGGGGTCGGCAAAGTCACTAGGAAACAGGGAGAGGAGCAAGGACGATGTGCCCAGGGAAGATTCAGGAAAGAGCGGGGGAAGTAAACGGGGGACTCCGGGAACCAAGGGAGTCAGAGACAGGGAGAGTCCGGCACGTCAGCAGCCCGAGGGGGCGGAGCCGAAAAAGGTCAGGCTAACGGATGCACGGAAAAAGCTAGCTGAAGTAGAGAGACGCACGGCAGAATACAGGGCAAAACTATTGGAAGAGATCATGAACGATGCCGAGAAAAATGCCGTTGATGACAGGACGTGGGAAGAAGGGGAACTGGACCTCGGGCAAGGAAGCCAGGATGGGGATGCACAACACAGGAAGGATCGGCCCAGAGACACGAGGGACACCCCAACAAGGAAAGGGAAAGAAGGAATAAAATTCCTCAGGGAGGATAGGGATAGACCCCTACTGAACAGCGGAGCAAGCCGACCCTCGGCGTCGCCTGTAAGTGCAAGAGGATGCGAGGGACTCTGGAGCCTGAGGGAAAGGGTGCTAGGATGGTTTGACCCGGAAGGGATCGCAAAGCCAAAAGGGCAACTCGATTTTAGCAAGGAAGGCGCCGGTCCGAGTTCCGAGACAGGACCTGGGATGATTGAGGGAGGGCTTAGGAAGGTGGTGTCGTCCCTCACGCGTGCTCTAAGCAAAAACCAGGGATACTTGGTCGACGCCAAGAAAAAGCTGACTTTCGATGGCGAAAACATCACCAAGTTCCTAATCGATTATGAAAATCTAGCAGCCTTACTAAGATGGACTGAGGAGGAAAAGATGGAGCACCTAGGCCACCATGTGTCACTCAACCTAGGTAGGGACATAATGGCAATCGTCGCAACAAGCGGATCATGGAAAGAGGCCAGGGACGTGATGATGACGAAGTATCTAGCAGACGAAAAGATGGCCACGGAGGCGGAACTGGCTACAGTGCAGAGGAAGAATTTCGCAACATACAACGACTTCCTAAGGGAGTTTACTCTCGTAGCACTAAGAATCCCCGGAGTGACGGACCGAATAATGAGCAAGTACTTCCTAAAGCAGTTTACCGAGTTTGACAAAGATAAGATCTTGTCCGCCTACCAGCAGACAGCAAAGTTCCTGAACACTAGAGACGTAGATTTCAGCACTATAACGGATATTGCAGACAAGATGGTGGTGACTGACTCGTTGGCCCTGCTAAAGACGGAGAGATCATAGATTTGACAGGCAAGACTGGAGATAAAGTGAAGAAAGGAATCGAAAGCCTGCACGAGCGGGTCCACGGGGTTGACGGCAAGATAGAGAGAGTAGAGAATGCCTTACTGGTGATGCAAGCCCAGGTCTCGCAAACGCAAGCAGTACGACCCCCCCTTCCGCCACAAGAGGCAATCGTACCCCCATGGATAGCCAACCGCGGTAATAATCGAAAGGACCCGACTAATGAGCAGTGCAACTACTGCACGATAGTCGGGCATTTTGTCCGCATGTGTCCCAGGCTTAACCACGATATCATCCTTAAACGGTGCTTTAGAACTTTGCGCGGGGAAATCCTGGGGCCACGAGGATAGAGGATAAACTGAAACTCGCCGGGAGGGATGCGCAGAGCAGTAATCGCACTTAACAACCTGGATGCAGCCGCGATTGAGGCCGAACCAGTAGAGGAACTTACCTGGGGACAGGCACCCGGAAAGAGGAACCCAGGTCAACTTCATCACCGAGAGTGATGACCGCGACGGGGTTAATGTAACCACCAGACAACGGGGTGCTACAAAAAAGGTAATTTAGGACGCGGTCATGGAAGACGCGCGGGAAGGGTCGAATCCGCCAGTAGAATCGGACCAGGACAAAGTTTACGGCAAGCCTAGGGAGGAGGCGCCCGTAGACAAAGTAACATCCGCAAAGAAGAAATTCAGGTACCAGATCCCTATCCTTGTCGATCCTGAGATGGACCATACTCTTAGCCAGTTGCTAGGGACCATGGTATCGGTTTCCTTCTAGACCATGTTGCAGGCTAGTCCTAGACTACTAAAGGGCCTATGACAGCTGCTAACAAGGCAAATGGTGGAACTAGCGGAGGAACCGGATGTACGCGAAGAAGGCAAGGAAGAGGAGCCACCGCGGGAAGTGGCAAACCTTCAGAGGGCCCCCGGGATCTGGAAGATCTAGAGAAGGCCTTCACAGACATCCGGCTAAGTCTGCCAGACCGGGAAGGCGGAGAAGTCATGAGGGCACCGCCTGGCACGAAACTGAGTTTCCATGCGCTACCGGTAGGGAAACTGAAAGTCCAGATTGGCACCCACCATACGGATGCACTGGTAGATGGCGGGGCAAAAATCACACTCATTCGCAAGGACTTTGCAACAATTGTTGGGTGCCCAATCAACCAGGAGGTCACGGGGAGTGTCCGGGAAGCAGGTGGGGAAATCCCCTTTTCCGACTATGTTACCAAGTGCGCAGTTAAGGCCGGGGTTAGAGAGTCTATATGGTCGTTCCAACGAATGACCGTCATGGACGAAATGGACCATGACGTGATCCTCGGGCGCCCGTGGTGTGCGAACGTAGAAATGATCGGGATGCATCTGCACGACGGCGCCTACATGGTAGACATAGAGGACCCGGTGACAGGACGAGGCGAGCTGCTTCGCCTTATGGGAACCAGGGGAGACACGCCAAAAGGGAAGCTCGCAACTTGGTCACCCTCCTTTGAGGAGAGCGCTAGAAAGGGGGTTTTCGCACGCATGGAAGGAATGAGAGAGAGGGTGGAAATTATGATTGAAGAGGCCTTTAGTAAGAAAGAATGGGTCAAGATGGGACTCCTGATAAAGAAACGTAGGTCAGACGAAGACGCCCTGGGAGTCATGGTAGTAGAGAAGGAAACAGAGGTGGAATTGGGAGCCAGTTTGCCCAAGCACGGGGAGATCCGGGATAAGAAGGATAAGGTCACACTAGAAATCCCAGACTTAATGCAGCTTGTCAAAGCAATCAGGTACCACAAAGTGGCCGTTGACTCGGCCGCCCTCGCCCGCTTTGAGGAGAGGGTCCAAAAAGGCTATTGCCTAAATGGGGAGCTGGTACGTATTCAGCCCCGCATTGTGGAAGCCCCGCAAGCAACTCCGACCTTTCATTTTTTAAAACAAAGATCCTGGAAGGAAGCGTTCGGAGGTATAAGCCCGTAGGAAAGAAGGCCAAGCCGGTCTCCATCCTACTCAAGATGACTAAGGAGGAGGCCATGGAAAAGGAGGAGGAGGTTCTTCGGGTAATTAAAGAAAGGAGGGTGGCAGAAGGACATAGGATACCGGATGAGGTGGCCCAAACCATGAAGATCGGAGTAAAGGGTTTTCTGACGGAGCAAGAAACACAGACAATCAAAGAAGTATGCCAAGAATCTCACCTAGCATTCGCTTTCAATGACCATCAGAAAGGGCGCCTGGACGCTAAGTTGATCCCACCAGTCAGGATCCACACGGTCGAGCATGAGTGTTGGAATGACAAGGGACCGGCCTACGACTTTGGCATCGCAGGAGAGGTAACGAAGCTCCTTAGGGCAAAAATGGACTCCTTTGTGGCAGAACCCACCGCGTCTTCTTATGCCAACAAGTGGTTTGTATTCCGCAAGCCCAACAAGTCACTTACGTGGATTCAGGACCTGCAAAAGTTAAATGCAATCACCATCCGGGATGCGGGATCATTGCCGCAGGCAGATCTCCTTGCCAAATCCCATGCCGGACGCAATATTTACTCCTTGGTAAATTTGTACTCAGGATACGACCAGCTCCCGCTGGACGCACGAGATAGGCCCTACACGGCTATGCATACGCCAGTAGGACAGTTGCAGATGCAGGTCACGCCTATGGGATTTACTAATGCGGTAGCAGAGGCACAGAGGAGGATGCTCGCGGTGGCCGGGGACATGTTCCCAGACAAATGTGAGCCCTACATTGA